GGGCGGGCGCGGGCCCCGGGCGCCGCGCAGCCTGGTCCCCGCTCCGCAAGCCGCCATCCCCAGACCCCGCGCTGACGCCGGACGGTCCCCGCCTCCAAACCCCCCGCCCCGGCCAGAGAATAACTTACCTGTTCGCCGACAGAATCGCTCCTGCTCTCCCTTCTGACTGACTCCTCCGGCTCACCGTCTTCCCTTTGGGAGGAAGGGGAGGGACTTCCTGCTTCTCCGTAGAGCGACTTCCGGCGGTTCCACGAACTGCTCCGTAGTGGTGGACGAACCGCCGGACACCACGACCAAAAACAGGAATTCGGAACTGATTTAGTAAAACCCAGGTCTAGCTCCCTCTTTTTTGCCCTGCGTGGCCGGCGGCCCCTTATGCCGTCTCGTTTTTAGTCACTCAGCGCTTGTCGGAAGTCACTTGGAGGTGAAACGGGAAGTCCCGCCCTCCCCGAAAGGAAAACGGAAAGCCGAAGAAGTCAATCTAAAGGGACGCGCGTGCGGTCGGAAGGCGGGTGGTGTGGGCACGGGAGGGTCACCTGGGACTTCCCGAGGGTGCAAGAGCCGGTTCCCCCGGGCAGATCCCGCTTCCTTCCTAGTCCCGGTCGTCCACCCCCACCCATTGCCCGCCCTCCATAAGGCGCCCGAGGAGTTGGAACCTTGCGGTACCCCCGCGGACTGCCGCGCTTTGCTCGCGCACAGCGGCCTCCGAGAGCTTCCTGTCGCTCCTAAGACTGACTTAAATGAGATTTCTCTGCAGTGCGCATCTCCAGATGATGAGAAAATTCCTCGACTGACTCCAAAGTGGGATCCTAGGAATCGGAAGCCGCAGGAAGCCAACAGTTGAGTTCTAGTACCAAGGAGGAAGCAAAGAAGCCGAATATGGGTTGTTTTCCCTTTGGGCACGGATTCTTACGGCAATAAAAGGTGAAAACGCCTTGGGTGTTTAAAACGTTGTCGTCTGGACTGTTTTTGTAAATTTAGCTGCATGGTACAAGGGATTTTGAGAAGAAATAAACCATGACTGCAGGATATAGCAGTTACGACCCCCTCCCAACACCACTATACAAGAAAGTCCAACGTTGAACCTCAAGTTTAGAATCCTTTCTTGGAAACCCAGAATCTTATAAGGAAAACCTGCATTGAAAAATACATCATAACTTGATAAATGCCATGATAAAGACATGTATATATATAGCGATGGGCAGTGATACCCAACTTGGGGTCAGATTGTAAGGTTATGCCTTGTTACGGACTTTTGACTTGTAGGTATAGGGAAACAATGTAATGGGATGTTATACAATCAAGACTTGTGTTTAGAAAGTTCTAAGAAAATGAGGTTAGAAATAGTGGCCTGAAAATAGGTTTTCTAACCCAAATAATCTCTCAAGGCCCATTCCAGCTTTATTCTTAAGTCGAAATACTTCAGATGATAATCCCCTATATTTTTTTAATAAATACTATACAGGACTTTTCATAGACATTATTTGGTTGAATTCTCATTGCAAGTTATACATATGTCATCCACAGTACAAAAATGTGATTTAGAATAGTCAACTGTTCCAAGATCACATAGCTAGTAATGGTAGAACTCAACTTTAAACCCCAGAGTCAACCTTTTCCACTCTATCATGATGACTCGGTTTAGTAATAATTAACAGTTCTAGGGAAAGACATGGAAAATAATTCCTCATAACAGGTGAACAGTCAATTCTTCGACTCTTGGTTAGCATGGTGGAAGCATGGAGACTGCAGGGATGGGCAGCTGAGCAACTTTTCTGGGATGAGATGCAGACTAGCCAACAAGAGGTGCTTCCGTGGAGATCCACGGGATCCAAGGGGTGGCTGGCTCAAAGGTGGTACCCTTCCCATTGATCAGATATAGCTGCTGGACCCTCTACCAGGGTTGCGGCTCCTGTTCCCATCATTTCTCTGTGAACTCTGGCTTCTATGCATTGACTCATGTTTCTTAGTATCGTAGACAAATTTTCTCTAAGCACTATTTATTCTTATACCCTACCATCTTCTTAAGACTGCCCCAAGAGATGATCATTTTTTCTAATACAAATAACTTCCTACCTTATGTTTTTACATGCAGTAATCTACACTCATAAGTATTTCCACAGCACTCCTGAACCAGAGTCGGAGCCAATACCAAAGGTATGGGGGGCAGTACTGACAGGATTATCCCCCAAATCCCTCTCTGCCACAAGATTAAGAAGATCTAGGTCATACTTCTAGCTCTGCATAATTTTAAAATTCAGATACTATCCATTCAAGTGTGTGGATTTACTCATGCCCTCTCCTACTGTTTAAAACCAGTTGCTATCCAGTTGATTCCACTTCATGGCAACTCTGTAAAGGGGTAGAACTGTGTTCCATATCTGGGGTCTTAAAAGCTTGTGAGCAGCCATCTAAGATACTCCACTGGTCTCACCCAGTCTGGGGCAAGGGAGAATGAAGAAAACCAAAGATACAAGGGAAAGATTAGTCCAAATGACTAATGGACCACAACTGCCATCAGCCTCCACCAGACTGAGTCCAGCACAACTAGATGGTACCCGGCTACCACCATTTACTGCTCTGACGGGGTCACAATAGAGGGTCCCAAAAGAAGCTGGAGAAAAATGCAGAACAAAATTCTAACAAAAAAGACTAGACTTACTGGTCTGACAGAGACTGAAGAAACCCCAAGAGTATGGGCCCCAGACACCCTTTTAGCTGAGTAATGAAGTCATTCCTGAGGTTCACCCTTCAGTCAAATATTAGACAGGCCCATAAAACAAGACAAGACTAAAGGTGCACAACAGCCCAGGAGCAAGGACTAGAAGGCAGGAGAGGACAGGAAAGCTGGTAATAAGGAACCCAGGTTCGAGAAGGGAGAGTGTTGACATGTTATGGAGTTGGTAACCAGTGTCATAAAACAATATGTGTACTAATTGTTTAATGAGAAGCTAGTTTATTCTGTAAACCTTCATCTAAAGTACAATTTAAAAAAAAAAAAAAAAAAAAAACTGTGCTCCACAGTGTTTTCAGTGGCTGGTTTTTCAGAAGCTGATTGCCGGGCTTTTCTTCCCAGCTGCCTCTGGGTGGACTCGAACCTCCAACCTTTGGTTAGAAGCCGAGTGCGTTAACCCGTTTGCACCACGCACAGACTCCTCCCACCATTCAATGCTTCTTTTTCAGCAGTCCCCTGCCCTTCAAGGAAGAGGTACCAATGAGTATTTCTTAATTACCTCTTGGGGCAGAAGAACCAAATGGAATTTTAAGGAACGATTACAACAACTGCACATAATTGGTGGAAAAGATAGTTTAAACACTGTAAATTACCATAATTTATCAAAAATAATACTTGTCATAAAAAATTAAAGTACACTTAAGCATTATGAAAAACTCAATACAACTATATATAATAACTCTCCATCATGTTTAATTTTAAATTGCTTGTCTTTAGCAAAGTAAATACAATATAAAACCGTTATTACTGTTTAATAATGGTACAGTCGCTCAACAACCCAAATGTCCCTCGTTTGCAATTGACAGCTCCCATTGGTCTGATTAAAGATGAGTTTTCTGATTCTAAGGGTGAAATTCAGAGCAAGTTTGTTTGGTTTTTGTTTTGTTTTCTGAGAGAAGAATCTTTGATGTAGACAACGCAGACTCCTGGTGAAGGCATAGTGCTCTTAGTGACACAGGGAGGCACTGAAGCAGGACTTGCTTAAAGCCAGTCCTCCTGGGGACTTGTCACTAACATTAACCAAAATACTTATTTTTATTGTTTGAGTAAATTTAACTCAGATCTTTTACTTTTACCATGAAGCAACCTAATTTCTAATTATTTCTCTTTAAGAAACAATAATTTGTATAATATTTCTCTCCTATTTATAAGAGAAAAATAGTTAACAGAAAATAAAAATAAACAATAAATAATACAGTAAAACCTATGAAAACCAGAACGTGTGTAAGACAGAAACCTGTCAGAGAAAACCAAATCCTGTTGCCGTCGAGTCGATTCCAACTCACAGCAACCCTATAGGACAGAGTAGACCTGCCCCATAGAATTTCCAGAGAGCAGCTGGTGGATTCAAACTGCCAACATTTTGGATAGCAGCAGAGCTCTTAACCATTGTGCCACCAGGGCTCCATCAGAGAAGGAAAACTCAAATATTTTCCACCAAAATAAGCAATAGAAAAGTGGTAAGGGTACACCCTGTGAAAGGCAGAAAACAGGCAAGACCCAGAAAAAACAAGGCAACCCCATTGAGTTCCGGCTCTCACAGGTTTCACTGTAGCATATATTGAGTGTCTACTATGCAGTAGGCACTGTGTTAGGTGCTCTACATACATTGTTTTGCTATTAATACCCTGCAGTAAAGATGTTCTTATTCCTAGTTTACAGCTAAAGAAACTAAGGCTCAGAGAGCTTATATATCTTAACCAAAATTACTCAACCAGTAAATCTGGAGTCTGGAGTCCATTTCACATGCTTGTACCCAAACCAAAAACCATACCTGTTGCCATGCAGTCAATCCCAATTTATGGCGACCCCATGTGTCCCAGTAGTGTCCAAACTGCTGCACAATAAAATCACATTAAAAAAAAAAAAACAAGAAAAAGAAAAAACCATTGCCATGGAGTAATTCCGACTCATAACGACCCTGTAAGGACAGAGTAGAACTGCCCCGTAGGGTTTCCAAGGCTGTACTCTTTACAGAAGCAGACTTCCACATGTTTCTGTTTCATACATGAATAGTGCAGAGGTCATCCAAAGATTTAGACAGACTGTATATGCATAATTTAGTGTTACCCCTCTGTGGGTCTCTCCTTTGTGGAATTACACACGCACACTGTCTTATGCTGGGTTTTCTAGAGAAGCAAAACCAGTGAAGTGTGCATATATATATATATATAGAAAGAGAGAGAGAGAGATTTCTATCAAGGAAATGACCCATGCAGTTGTAGAGACTGGAAAGTCCCAGGTCTGTGGGTCAGGCTGGAGGCTTCTCCTGACTCACGGGGCTGCAGGGGCTGGTGAACCCAAGATTAGCAGGTCAGACAGCAGGCCTCTGGCTCACAGGCTGTGGAGGACAATGAATCCCAAGATTGGCAAGTAAGACGGTAGGCCTCTGTCTCACCAGCTGCAGAGGTCGACAAATCCCAAGATCAGCAGGTAAGACGGTAGGCCACTGGCTCACGGACTGGAGAAGCTGACGAATCCAAAGATGGAAAGGTAAGCTGCTAGCTCAAGTCCCAAGAACCAGAGGTCAGATAAGGATCCAGAACAAGCAAAAGCCAGCGAGCTTTGCCAGAAAGTCCACAGATACTGGATGCAGGCCACACTCCTAAGGAAACTCCCTTTCAATTCATTGGCTGCTCATAGCAGATCTCATCATGGAGGTAATTACATTATATCAGATCTCATTATGGAGGTGATTACATCATTATGTAGCTTCCAAATAACATCATAACTGCCAAACCACCACTG